AGGAACAAAGGCATCTAACAAAAGAACAAGTTGATGCTTGAAAGTGACAAGAGAAGTCTCAACATATCATAATTCCATGGAAGAAAACTATATATGATATATCAGGCTATTCATGTGTTATGTACTTATAATTGCATTAAGAATTATTTTTAAATAAGGTTCTATAGGGATACAACACACAATCATCCTAAATTTATTAGCTTAGCGAAATCAAACTGATCGATAGGGTTTCCAGCGAGGTCCCATGTCGGCTACTAAACACTAGTATTGTGATTTATTTGTGTGGCTATTTAAAGTCGTCATGAATGTATATGTCAAAGCTGGTAAAAGTTCTCGTTTCATGGATCAGGCCCTTCATGCAACCCCCCGATGAGGATTTATATATGTTATACTCCAAATTTAGATGTGTAATTTAGTGGGAGATAAGGGCCTTTACTCCAATGCGCGTGAGTACTAGAAATGGGTAGGAGTGGTAGATCGCACAGAGCTTGTGGAGGACTTATATATTAATGGTCTACGATACTTTCTTTTTTTTTTTTAAATAAAATAAAGATGTGATGCAAATAGATAAAGAAAGGAAGTGCAAGTTCAGTTAATGAGAGGCAGATGGGGTAGTTGAGATGCTATTGCTATTTTGGTTGGACATTGGTTTGTTTTTATCCAAAATAACTATTTTAACTTTTCGTTAAAATTCTACTTTGTACTCTGACTATATTCTTTCAAGTTAATAAAATTCTAAATTTTCATAATTTTATAAATAAACAAATTAGTAATGGCTACTAGATATGTATTGTCTCATAATTTTGGTCTTATGAAGAGACTAACTTTTTGTTTACGTCTTATGATGGGACTAAGTTTTTGTTTCGTCTCTCTCGCTTTTACTCTTTTGTCTCCTTGTCTAAAAGATTAGAGAGTGTACTTATGGAAGAATCTTTGATGCATCTTTTATCCTAATCTATGGTTCTTGGTTTGGCTTTGGTTTTTATTTTTCATTTTACAAAATGTTTAGTCTAAGCAGTCTTTATTTTGGTTTGGTTTTTAGTTTTTTTTTTTTAATATCAGCTTTTCGTTTTTGGTTTAATGCATGATTTGAGAAGAACAATCACAAATAAGCTATAAAAACCCCTAAAATAAATATCCAGTTAAACATATACGACAACACAAAAGCTATAAAACAGAGATAATTTAGACATGTATAACAATAAATTTAAAATGGAGAAAACTGACCTCCATTGAGCCAAAGAAGAAGGGGTTTGGTATGCGGAGAAGTTGACTCAGTGAGCCAATAAAAGAGAGAACGACCATGAGATTCATTTACATTGATATAGCCTGAGTATTGCGAGAATGCCACTTTTGGTTGCCCTGGAAGTGCTTTGATTCTGTCCTTCTCTTGCTCTCTTAAAGGCAATGACAATGATGATGATGCAGATATTTTTGATAAAAGAGCTAGAAGAAGAAGAAAAATGAGATGATGGGTTCTTGCCATTTCCTGTCCTCTCCACTTTTCTTCTTCAATAAGTTTTTTGTGTGTAAGGTCATATAGTATATGGAATTGTATGTTTTTGTATGTATACGTATGTATTTATATATGTCTGAAAGAAGAGAGATGTATGGATATTGATGGATGGGGTTTTGGAGGTTCTTATTTAATGTGGGTGTTTGCTGATTTACTACACAATGTGTAGGTTGGCCAGCTGTGAGTGGACCTTTCTCACTCTCCACACTCTTTCTCTCTCAATGCTAATCTCTTTATTGGCCTATATGTGAGTATTTTTAGGAACTATTCACGAGCTTGTAATATATATAGACAATGTAAGGACTATTCACGAGCTTGTATAATACAGCCTCACATATACCAGTTTGGTGAAATGTGGTGGTATACTATGTCATGTACAGTAAATGTAATGTTTGGGATTGTAGTAGTTGTGGTATTGCTTCTCCCACACAGAATTGTGTCGCGGCAAATGCGGCGTGAAGGTGATAAGGTCCATTATTTCGGCTCCGAATACACATAAAAAAAATGTTGTTAATGGGTGTGAATCAGTTATTAGTTAAATAAAACTAGTTCATTTTGTAAATCAACAACATAGCATTCATTATTCACATGTCAGCGATTACGTTTTTTAAGTGTTTAGGTACAGAACATATGCTACATTGCTCGGATTCAAAGGTAAATCTGGATCTTGAATCAGAAGAAGATATCATTGATCAGAAGCATATTAAAACCATAAATGCAATATTGCATGATATATGAATATTTTATTTTATTCTCTCATTCCTCTCATGCATGTTACGGTATGTTCTTAGCTATCTACATGGTAAATTGGTAATTAGGCGTAATTGACACATTATCATTTCTATCACATTTCTCTCAATACTAACTTCTAGGCGATTTTGTGGGGGTATTTGACTGTTTTGATTATAATACTATAAAGACATAATAGATCCATAATTACTGATTGGTGATCAACTAGGTGGATATCAAGTCAAAAACACTGTAGCACGTTTGTTCGAGAAAAACAAACAAAAGAAAAATAATTAAACTGCATTTAATTATTCTGAGTAAGTAAAAATAAAAGGTGTATTCGTGTGTGTTTTTACACAAGTAACAAAAGAAACACACAAACTAAAATGGAAAATGTCGAATATAATCATGATGGCTTTGTATCCTTTTACAAGGAAACAACTGTTCACCGTGCAAAAAATTACCCTGCCTATAAAATCTAAAAGTGCAATTTTGTAGCAAGAGTAAACAACACAACATCATTTCCTTGCCAGTAAAAAAAATTGGATTCATGTGTGTGTTTTTACTAAAATTGATAAGTAAACTATTTAAATCTATAACGCAGCATCTTATCCAGTTGACAATCTTAATGATCCTTAAGTTCGTATTTGTATATATAATGGCACTCTTTCTTAGTCATCAAATTAAGGATGTCCATTACATCGTTAATTCAATATTTATAGTACAAAAACAGTATCGTGTTTTGATCAAAACCTTAGTAGGCATTTCTCATGTCATATTTTGAAAGCTTTGTTGGGCTTTCCATAATCACTTAACGGGAGAAGTTGTGGTCAACACAAGTTGTCAAACATCATTTCGCCAGACTATTTACTACTGTAACATTGCAAAAGCTTCATTGTTTCGTAAAAAATGATAGGTCCATCCAAACCGGTGTCCCAAAGCAAGTAGACCATGTCGGAAATATGTATCTAAATATCATCAATTATAGTTTTTTTGTATGCTTGAAAATTTGCATTCAATTGTTAATATGACTTTAGATTGCCATTGCATTTGTTTTACAGATGCTTTTAAAAGTGAAATGATATTAAACAGTCTTCGTAATGTTTTTTTTTTCTTGTAAATGATGCTTTGAGTTGAAAGCTGTCTGTCTAGTTTATGAGATCTAAATACTTCCAGTCAAACATCGTATATACAATTTCCGACGATTTAATTGAATGCTTCAGTTAATATCAGTCTTTCCGTTTTGTATGAAATAAATTTTAAAAGTAAGAAAATGGAGTATTAAAGTTTTTTAAACCACCGCTTGTTATGTTTTGCTTTTAAAAAAGCAATATTATGTGAAAAGAGATGAGGATTGCGACCCTAATAGTATTATTCCTAACAAACAAGTTAGACTTTGAACCAGCAAAGTCAAAACAATTAAAGAGAGATGGCGTAATGATGGGGCAGATCCGAAGGAATAGCGATCATTTATGGATTTTATGCAACTAGCAGAGTCGCGCACGATCTAAGTTTTAAGGGACTTGATGCAAATTCACACAACATTAGTTGCATTTACTACTACAATTTACTAATGTGGATTCAATCAACGAAACAATGTAACAGGGCCTGGTTGATATGGGTGTCGAATATACTGTGTAAATTAGGTAAAGTCGGTACAAGTACGACTGTATTATGGTTATAAGGACCCAAGCTTCCATGCTCCGATCTATATATGCTAGAAATTAGGGAACTATCAAAGTGTATCAGTAGTAAGTAGCTTGGTTAAGTCTAACAAACCTAATGTTCAAAAGAAAAATTCTAACAAACCTAAGTGACTAAAGGAAGAATGAGATCATTGAGATGAAAAAGCTTAGATTATTTTGTAAACCCTTTGTTCAGATTCATGAGATCATAATAGTAATTCAGGCCTTCATAAAGCCCATGGGCTTAAAAGAAATTTAAATGTCCTCCAAGTTCCATGCTGTTTTGCTTAAAACGCAGAGTTTTTAAACAGTCGCCGCGTTGGAATATCGTCGTGTGTCGTCAGTCAAAGGGACATCAAACATTCATTGTCCACCGTCCATAGCCATGAGCCTCCACCGGTTTCCACGAAGAAAACTTCGGTTTGACTTTCAAATTTTTCTTATTCCTTTTTTTTAACAAAAACAAAATTTAGTTCGTGTCTCAGTGTCTGAAGTCTAAATTCAGGTTATATTTTTTTTTAAAAAAAAATACTTCCTCTATTTTTTTATATTTGACATTTTAGAGAAATTTTTTGTTCAAAAATTATTTGAATTTTCAAATTTCTATATAAATTTATTAATAATAAATATTAAATAATCAATGATATCATAATTTTTATTTTATTATTGATTGAATTATGGTTAGATAAAAAATTAATGATATTTTGTTCAAAAAAATAATTAGTGATATTTTATTTAAGAAATTAAATATTTCTTAATCTGTTTGTATAATTATAAAACATCAAATATAAAAAAAAAAGAATATCTTTTTGACATTTTATAATGGCAATTGCATATTGTTTTTTTTTGTCGGGAAAGAAATCTTAACCAGAAGAAATAATTAAATTTATACTGATTCTTAACCAATAAATAAAAATATTTTTTTTACTTATTTTGCAAAAAAAAATTAATGTTAACCCTCTCTCCTCTATATATAATAAGGAATCAAAAAGAGCATCATAATTTTCTTCACTTTTATTTATTTTTATTATTCGTCTCCCTCGCCAAGAAAACGACAAGAAAAATCAAGGTTTGTACCTTCCTCTGTCTCTCTCGAACTCTATGATCCGATGCTTTTGTCATCAAACTTCTCAATTTGATCGAACACACACAAGTCTGATTCAAAAACCGACAATCCATAGATCCTATGTTCCTCAATTCAAATGTCTCCTCGATTCTCTTCTTGTCCTAATCCATACTAAATCTGTCGGAACGGTTTGATTTATTTCCTAATTAATTTTGTTTCCTCTCAATCGTGACAAATCTCGTAAATTGGACCATCTCCTGTTGTTAATTGATCAAAAGATTTGATTTTTATTTATTTTTATTTATTTTCAGGGAAGATGTTAGAACAGCTTTTGATCTTCACAAGAGGAGGCCTAATCCTATGGACATGCAAAGAGATTGGCAACGCTCTAAAAGGCTCACCAATCGACACTTTAATCCGTTCCTGTCTCCTCGAGGAACGTTCCGGTGAAGTCTCCTTCAACTACGGCGCCTACACTCTCAAATGGACGTTCCACAACGATCTTGGACTCGTCTTCGTTGCTGTTTACCAACGTATCCTCCAGCTTCTTTACGTTGATGATTTGCTTTGTATGGTGAAGGAGAGCTTCTCTGAGGTGTATGATCCTAAGGTGATGAGTTATGATGAGTTTGATGAGAGGTTTCGGCAGCTTAGGATGGAAGCTGAGGCTAGAGGAGAGGAGATGAGGAAGGTGAAGGTGAAGGTGAAGCCTTTGAATGGTGTTAAGAAGCAAGGGAAGGTGTTGAAGCCTGAAGGAGGAAACAAGAAGGAGAGTGATGGTGATGGTGGAGATGGTGGTGATGAAGTTAAAGGTAATGTTAGTAGTTTGACTAATGGGAATCATAAGATGGAAGATGATGATGATTGTGTTGTTAATGGGAAAGAGAATAGTGGTGGTGATGATAATAATGTTGGAGTTGATGTAAGTAAGCTTGCGAAGTTGAGGAGTAAAGGTGTTAGAGGTAGAGGTGGTTTAAGGAAAGCTGAGAGTGTAGGTAGTAATAAAGGTTCTTCTAAGGTGGAACCACCTAAGAAAGCGACTAAGAAGAATAGGGTTTGGGATGATGCGGCTCCTAAGCAACAGGAGAAGTTGGATTTCACGGATTCAGTGGATGAAAATGGGGGTAATGATAGTGTAGAGGTTGCTGCTGATCAAGGAGAAAGTATGATGGATAAGGAAGAGGTTTTGAGTAGTGAGAGTGAGAGTGATGATGATGAACAGAGAAGTGATGAGAAGCCTGAGGCTAAGAAGAAGGGATGGTTCTCTTCTGTTTTCCAGAGGTTTGCGTCTCTTTCTGTTGCTCCTTTACGTTATGTATTCTATTATCTAAGTATTTGAATCTGTGTGTTCAGTATTACTGGGAAGGCGAATCTTGAAAGGACAGATCTTGAACCTGCTTTGAAAGCTTTGAAGGAACGGCTCATGACCAAGAATGTGGCTGAAGAGATAGCTGAGAAGCTTTGTGAGTCAGTGGAAGCAAGTCTTGAAGGAAAGAAGTTAGCTTCCTTCACAAGAATCTCTTCAACAGTTCAGGTATGTTGTTCTTTGTCCTTTGTATCTCTAATTGAATCTAGAAAACATAAATCTGAAGTCTCTTAATTGTGGTGAAACTTTTATGACTTCAGGGAGCAATGGAGGAGGCTCTGATTCGTATACTGACTCCAAGACGCTCTATTGACATAATGAGAGACGTTCATGCTGCCAAAGAACAGAGGAGACCTTACGTGGTCGTGTTTGTCGGAGTCAACGGAGTTGGAAAATCCACCAATCTCGCCAAAGTAGCGTATTGGCTTCAGCAGCATAAGGTCAGTGTAATGATGGCTGCTTGTGACACGTTCCGTTCTGGAGCTGTTGAGCAGTTAAGGACACATGCTCGTAGGTTACAGGTAATGACAATCATCTCTTGTCTTAAATAAGATCAGTTTGTTATGGTGTGTACATACTGATTTGGTGGCAAAAACAGATACCGATATTTGAAAAGGGTTATGAGAAGGATCCAGCAGTAGTTGCTAAAGAAGCTATACAAGAAGCAACTAGGAATGGTTCTGATGTTGTTCTTGTTGATACAGCTGGTCGGATGCAGGATAATGAGCCTTTGATGAGAGCTCTCTCGAAGCTCATTAACCTTAATAAACCTGACTTGGTGTTGTTTGTTGGTGAAGCTCTTGTTGGAAACGATGCAGTAGACCAGCTCTCAAAGTTTAATCAGAAACTTTCGGATCTTTCTACTTCCGGGAACTCAAGATTGATTGATGGAATCTTACTGACAAAGTTTGATACCATTGATGACAAGGTACAAATAAGACATTGATTTGTTCTTTATAGTAAGTGTTTGTGTATGAGTTGTTAATGAGTGTTTTTGGGATGGGGTTTTATAGGTTGGAGCAGCTTTGTCGATGGTTTACATATCGGGAGCACCGGTTATGTTTGTGGGTTGTGGTCAGTCTTACACTGACCTCAAGCAGCTCAATGTCAAAGCCATTGTCAAGACACTTCTCAAATGATCTTCTCATTATCATCATCATCATCATCATCAATGAATGTCTTATCCATCATACTTTATCTGAGTATATCTGAGTTCTTGTTTTTGGTTTTTAATTTTTGATTTGAAGACGGTGTCTCTTTGGCTGTGATGACCATTTCGTTGGAGTCGGTACAGTCCCATCCTATGACTTTTATACTATAATGTAACGTTTGTTTTGAACTTGATTCCTTTAATGTTTCATGTGACAAATCTTGGCATCTTGGTTTAAGTTAACCATCTACACCTTTCTCAATCTTATTTATAACCCGTTAGGCCTTGGCCAAATGTATATACCTGAAGACTTTCATGCCTAACGAATAAAGCTCTAAATTGTATACCTGAAGACTTTCATGCGTAACGGGACATTAGCTCCTATACCCATCCTCCTCATCACTCAATCTCCTATACTCATATATCATAATTTTTTTTTTTTATCAAAATCTTAACTCCTAAATTAAATCTTCCCGGTGTTCAAAACTAAACAAAAACCCCCCAATGGATGGGTGAACCCATGGGCAAATATTTAAATTCTATAGCTTTCAAATTAAAAAAAAAAATATTTTAAAATCGTTTTTTAATCATATTTTGATGATTTTCGTGAAAATATGAAAAAAATGATTTTTGATTTCTGAAATAATTTTATCAAATTCTATAAATCAAATAAAAAATATTCACGTTTCAAGTTTAATTTTATGTTTTTTCGTTCAACATATAAAATTAAAAAAAAGGAAAGTGTCTAAGAGAGATTAGAGATGGAGATATATGGGTATAAGAAATGATGTTCCCTGCATATTCCAGATATACATCAATTTGATAAAATGGACAACTATGAAAAACATTGAACAGGAAAACGAGAGAAAGTATAGTAGTTCATTTCCATAATGTTCAAAATATTTTCCTATTTTACCGTGTTCATCTCGTATTCAAGAATTTATATATAATTTAACAATGTTCTTTAATGTTTTCGTAAATTACATTCCTAGGTTTTAATATTTTTCCTTAATTTCAAAGATCAGGATCTAATATATATAGATTTTTAGGTGTGATCATTAATAAAATTATCAACCATAGAAGGAAACTTAGTATATTTCAACCAGTGGATCAACTTTTGGTAAATTCTCTTTATAAAAAAAAACTGTTGGTAATTTTTTTTTTTTTTTAATTGTCTATTTTGATAATCTTGCTTAAACATATTAAGTCCTTATTGAAAACAGTCAAACACTATCTTTAGTATAAACAACTCCTGCCAATCTATTACAGTATAAATTTTCAAACCAAAGATTCCGTGTCAGTTTCTAAATTCACTACTACATTCAGTAACATAATTCTTTGTCATAAAAGTGAGTAAAAACTGCCATTTATTCACCAAATCAGAATAAGATACTTTAGTATTAAATTATTATTTTTTTGACTGAGACTTTAGTATTAATTAAGATCATATTTTTTGACTTAAGAATATATTTATTTCAAGCTCGGTTCGGAACCATCCGAACCCAAGCAAGAACTCGGTTAAGCTCCAACCCACAATGGCTATATAAACAGCATCCACCACATCAAAATTATCCACACCTTTGTGAAAACAAAAACAAAAACAAAAGAGAGACAAACTCTAAACACTCAAAACCAAAAATAACCAAAGAGTTGTTTGTTCAAGAAAATGGGAATCATAGTTCCAGTATTGACCCTTGTTTTCCTCTTACTCAACAAAGTGAGCCATGCTGCCTCCAACTCCAAACCGAGGATGATTCTGGTTGGTGGATATGTAGGCGCGTGGAAGGTTCCAGATTCTCACAATAACACTCTCAATCACTGGGCTGAGAAAACTCGTTTCAAAGTCGGCGATGTTCTTGGTAATCTTATATTATTTCTGCCTCTCTTGATCTTTCTTACAATGCATAATAGTTTTGATTATTCTTATGTTTTGTTCACCAGCGTTTTGATTATACTTTTCCAAAGTTTTCTTCACAAAGAAAGATAAACATTGTGGAATAATGAAAATAACAAAATCATTGATTTCAAATGATTTTAATTTTTTCTTTTTCTTTTTTTTTCCAAATGATTTTAAAATCACGGTCTCATTTCATAAGTTTCACTTCTTGTAATAGTATTTATCAAATCTGTGAATCTGTATATTGTTTTGTCAGTAATATGGTTTTTATTTCACACATTCATATATTTGATATATTATTTTTTGTCAAAATATAATTTTATAGTTTTTAATGATATATTTTATGCATGTGGATTAGAGTGGAATTACGACGCGAAAAATGATTCAGTGTTACGAGTGACAAAAGAAGATTACGAGAATTGTAACACAGCAAAGCCCTTGAAGCGATTCAACGATGGAGACACAAAGTTCAAGCTGGGCAAGTCAGGAGCTTACTTCTTCATCAGTGGTGCTCCTGGGAGCTGCACTAAACTCGAGAAGATTCATATTGTTGTTTTGGCTGAACGCAAGAATCCTCCGGCTTCAACTCAGGCTCCAGCTCCAGCACCTAATGCTGCGGTTGGATTGAAGGTTGGTAGCGGTTTGTTCTTGACCGCGTTTGCGATTGGTTTGGCTATGGCTTAGAGGGATTGATCGAGAAGAGTGTAGCGTTTATCGTTTTCAATCTTTTTAGCAAGATCATCTATTATTTGTGTTTTTTTCCTTATGCTGTTTAAGTTTCAAATCTTTTTAGCAAGATTTATATGCGTTTTTTATTCAAAAATGAATTGCTCACTCTCAAAAGTCTAGTCTTATGATTTGAATCTTAATTTAATAGCAGAACGTTTCTGAAAATCTCAACTAGGAAATGAAACCGAAAATGTTTAAACAAGGACAGCTATACAGTGAGAGAAACTCTATTGTATAAAACATTGGACGAATTTTCAAACAGAAAACAATATTAGTATTTTAATATAATTTAGTTACTAGATCTTGATCCTCGCTTGCAAAGTGGAATATTTTATGATGAAAATTTTCATTAATAAGTAACAAAAAATTTGTTAATTTGAAAGAATTTGTGTATTTAAAATATTTTTGTTTTTAAATCAGTGTTTTTAAATTCGATCCGAACCCGTGATTTAACTATTCAGTGATATGATAATTCGATTTAGATTTTTTAAAATATTCATATTTTAAAAAATCACTAAAATCTGAGACTAGCAATTTTAATCGATGGATAAGTGATATGTAATATTTAAAGATGTAAAAATAAAATCTAGTTTTTTTTGGTTTTTAAATTATCTAGTTTATCTGAATAACTTGAAAGAAATTTTTTAAAAATTATTAAAAATATGAGATCTAATATTTTGTATTATTTGGACAAAAGATTAATTATATTTTTGTATGGAAAAATGGATAGTAATATAAAGAAAGAAATATATTGTTTTGAAACATGAACAGTAGTACAAAGAAAAAAATATTAGTAATTTAATGTAGTTTTAACTATAAAGTAGAAAAAAGATTGAATTTAAAATTTACAAAATAAAAGTTAGATCAAAGACAAGGTTTAAGATTTAATAAGATAGATATATCTATTTTTCAAAAATACGAATATATCTATAAACTTCTCACAAAATCATCAAAAGTTTTAATTTGAGAAAATATCTTTCTCTCCTTTTTAGAAAAAAAAATATTCACAAGAACCGTGTAGAAACCAACCTCTATTACTCTATTAGGTATGGGCATTCGGATACTAGATCGGATTCAGATCGTATATTTCAGATATCAGATAGAATGGGATCCAATCAGATATTTTTGAGTTTTGGATCGTTGGTACATGTCGGATCCGAGTAGTTTTCGAGTATATCCGAAGTAACCGAAAATGAATCGGTTCCTGTTCGGATTTCTTAATTTTACACAAGCATAACCGAAAATACTTGTTTCTAATCTGAATTATCCGAATCATTTAGCGTAAGACACAAATAAGAGAACTCTGAAACCAAATAAAACAAGTCTTAAACTCTAAACAAAAAACAAAATCAGCATTCCAAACAAAGAAAATAATCTATCATTCTTATAAGCTATGAAACTCAAAAACAAACTGAAAGTAAGTTTTTAAATAAACTCATAAGAATATATAAAAAGAAAATCAACTACATCTAGTCTCTAATGTTATCCACTCTTCCATGTTGCTAAATGCATTTCACAAGAAATCTAGACATTGACAAGAGGAATACATGTGAACCTATGTTTAATACTTTAATGACATAAGAGTCTAATATTTTCAGATAGTTGTTTGGATCTCGAATAATATCCGATTCGCCCGGTATCCAAAACATAAATAAAAGCATATCCGATCGAATATTTCACCATATCTAGATCCAACCAAAAACCCAATTTTTCAGATCAGTTTGGATCTTCGGATCCGGGAAATATACCCAGACCTATACTCTATAATGGACTTATTTATTCAATGACTTTAGTACTACACCACATAGCCTTGTAGTCAATAAACCAAACGGCATGTAGTCTTATCTCACAAACAGAAAAACACAACCCGCCGCTTCCTCACCTCAAACGACACACAGTTAATAAACAAAAATTAAAAACAGCATAGCACCAAATCCAGAGATAAAAGCAAAATGAAGATGAGAGATAACACATGAGCAAATCTCACGGATGTTTTAAGCTAAGCTCGCGAAATTCCGCCATGGATGTCGCTTCTCCCCGGGGCATCTCTTCACCTCCTCCATGTATGACTCAAACACTCTCCTCTCATCTAATTCTCGTCAATATAAACTTGAAAATTCAATCTTTATAACTCTGTTTTCTCAATCATGTTCTCAGATTATACTAAACCCATCTGTTCATCACAGTCATCTTTGATTAGGGTAACTTCTTCTACTCCTTTTTGATTGATAAAGTGATGGGCTTTTAGTTAAACATTGAAAGTTTCAATCTTTAAGCTCTCTTAACGCTTTATGAACTTTGCTCTGAAACGCAGATTCCGATCAGTAAAGGTTGTTGCTTTACTCGTTCTTCGAACTTGGTTACTTCCCTTCATGGTAAAGACTATCTAAAAATCATTCCTTTTTGGTTTCTTGACACGTTCTTGATACGTTCTTGATTTCTTGATGTGTTGCTTTTGATGTGCTCTGTTACTTAGTCTCTTGAATCGTTTACTTGCTTCTTGTTTAGCTGCTCCGAGAGGAAGGGAAACAAAGCGTACTAGTAGTGTAGAATGGTGTAAGAGCTCTATTAGATGTGACCCTTTCAAAGTTAATGATAAGAAGTCAAGGAGATTAAGTGAATTAGCAAGAACTGTTACTGTAAAATCAGATCTTTCAGGAGCTGTAACACCTGAATCTACTTATCCAGAACCAGGTAGTTCTTCTTCTTTGGCTAGATTACAATCTCTTCAGGCCTGTGTAATAGCATGTACTAGTCTAACAGTGAAAAAAATATTAAGAAAATTTTAAAAATAAATACGTAAATTTGGTTTAAAATTTCAAACTTGTAAATATACTTTTCATAAATTTATGGCTTATAGATAAGGGTATTAAAACTATTTCATTACATCACTAAATATATAGTTAATATTTTTCACATTAATATAATTTGAGACGGCCCTGAATCTCTTGTTCTTGTTTTTGTTTTTGTTTCTCTATACACAATCTTTTCTTTCAACTTTGAAGTGCAGAGATTAAGTTGAGCTCAAGACTCAGAGGGATATGTTTCTGTCTCAACGCTGCCGTTTCCGCTCTTGTTCTCATCGTCTTGATGATCATTGGCCATCCTTTTGTGCTTCTCTTTGACCGTTACAGGAGGAAGTTCCATCACTTCATTGCTAAACTCTGGGCTTCTATAAGCATCTACCCTTTTTACAGAATCAACATTGAAGGTTTGGAGAATCTGCCGTCATCAGACACTGCTGCTGTGTATGTCTCAAACCACCAGAGCTTTTTGGATATATACACACTTTTAAGCCTTGGCCAAAGCTATAAGTTCATCAGCAAGACAGGGATATTTGTGATTCCTGTTATTGGTTGGGCTATGTCTATGATGGGTGTTGTTCCCTTGAAGAGGATGGATCCAAGAAGCCAAGTGGTAAGTTAACAAACTCTCTGTTTTTTTTTCTTCAAGTGTTTGTTTTTGAAACTCTCTTTTTGGAATTGTTTAGGATTGCTTGAAAAGATGTATGGAGCTAGTGAAGAAAGGAGCATCTGTGTTTTTCTTCCCGGAAGGAACGAGGAGTAAAGATGGTCGGTTAGGTCCTTTCAAGGTAAACAAACACACAACAATCTCAAGATTCTTGATCATGTTTCCAAAGTAACATAAGAGGCTTCTTGATATATACAGAAAGGGGCGTTTACGGTAGCTGCTAAGACAGGAGTTCCAGTGGTTCCAATAACGTTGATGGGGACAGGGAAGATCATGCCAACGGGTAGTGAAGGTATACTGAATCATGGGGATGTGAGAGTGATCATCCACAAGCCTATATATGGAAGCAAAGCTGATGTTCTTTGTGAGGAGGCTAGAAACAAGATAGCCGAGTCTATGAATCTTTTGAGCTGAAACGTTGTTTGTTTTTAGCAGTGTCTCTGGTGAACAATGAGAGGCTATATCATTTTTACATGTGGAAGAACAAATGTATGTCAGTTTTATTGTTCAAAATAAAATTTAGGTTCTTTTATAGTTAAGTTAAATCTTTAAATTAATAATATTGAGACTATCAAAAACTACAATTTTTTATTAGTTTATAGAAATTAATAATTTATTGATATATTAATTGAACCAAAAATTAAATTTAAGACTATAAAATTATATTATTTTAGAAAAAGTTTTAATGTATTAGTTTATACAGTTTTAATTTTAAAAATTTATATTGTATTTTTTATGGCATCACTGGTCTGATTCTTACTCATCTTTTTTTTCTTTCTTTCAATTATTTGTGTTACTCCTAATCATTTTATATGTCATTATTATACAACTGACAAATATACAAAAAATCCTTAATAATATAATGAGTTGGCCGATGAAAGAATGATTAAAATTCTATTTTTGATATAAAATCTGTCATACTTAAATCCGAATTTAGGTAAGTTTCCAAACTACATAAAAGCTTCAACGCATGTATGTTTTCAAAATGGAAAAGTTAGATATCATAATCTCAAATTAAATAAATAATTTCTTAAGGTTTATTTTTTTTTAATAAAAAGTACATGTGAAAAAATAAGAAAATAATACAATTTTCAACCTGTTTTTATTTTTCTTCAGACTGTATTGAAAAGCAAAGTTTGTATTTTTGTGTGTAAATTTTTTAACACATTATATATGTAAACCAATAAAAATAATAATTAGAGTTGACTAATGGATATTCTCATTGACTTGACTTATAAAAAAGGATTAGTGAGATGGTGGGGACCCGACCCAGACTGCACGGAGAGACAGCAGTTTGAGTTTTCATCTTTAAAAAAAAAAAAAAAAAAATCCAATCTCTCTGTCTTAAACGACTTCCACCTTCTCTTCACTTATCAGTGTCAGAGATACATACAATCTCCTAGTTCTAGATCTGTGAAGACATCTTCAAAATTTCCTGTAACTTGTCTTTATTTCTGTTGCAAGAAACCCATTGTCTTCCCCTCCCCTATAACTGTAATATTATAGATCTTTACTTATTTTCTTGTTGGGATCGTGATAACAAGTTTCCTGCTGGTTGAATGTATATCAATAGTTGATTTAGAGATCTCTTTTGTTTTTTTTTTGCGTGTTTTTTTTTTGTTATAATAAATTTAAAAGAGATTAAAGATTTTTCCTTTTTTTTCAGAAAATCTAGGTCACACCTTGTTTCAGTAGTTACACAATGAAGGCTCTTATTCTAGTTGGAGGATTAGGAACTCGATTGAGACCACTTACATTCAGCATGCCAAAACCTCTTGTTGATTTTGGAAACAAGCCCATGATTTTGCATCAGGTACGTGGTTTGGTAGCTTCTTCTCATTATGATTATGCATTTCATTCATTCATTCTCTGAATTATACTTATAATGATGATTAAACAAGATTGAAGCTCTAAAAGCTGCTGGAGTTACTGAAGTTGTATTAGCTATCAACCACCAGCAACCAGAGGTAATGATTCATTCTCTCATTGTGTGTTTTTCTTTGTAATAAAATAATTCTCATTGTGTGTTTATTTTTTTATTTTAATTTAAGGTGATGTTGAATTTTGTGAAAGAATATGAGAAGAAGCTTGAGATGAAGATCACTTTTTCCCAAGAAACCGAACCCCTAGGGACAGCAGGGCCTCTCGCTTTGGCTCGAGATAAGCTTATCGATGAATCAGGCAAACCTTTTTTTGTGCTGAACAGCGATGTTATCTGTGAATATCCACTGCTAGAGATGATTAAGTTTCACAAGAATCACGGAGCTGAAGCAACAATCATGGTGACCAAAGTATGTCGTTTTCTCTGCCTTGTGTTACACTTAATGAATCATTTATCTTTGTTACTAACTTGCATATACTCTATGTTAATTTTTGGAACTGTCTTAAATCTCTGTGCACTCGTAAAAGTATCATCCTTCGATTAGGCCGGGAGGCCTTAAGTCCTTTCGATACGATAAACTTTTTAGGATTAGGAAAATTATATTTTTTAGGAGAAAAAATGGGTTTTGAGACTGTTATAAATACTGATTTAAATAATGTAAATTCATTCATTTACATAATCAATATACAAATCCTAAACGGGTATCTACCTCGTTATGCTCTCAATTTCTTTGTTTTTTTTTAAAAGTTAGTTCGCATTCGTTCATAACACTCTCTCTTTATATTAATAACAGGTTAATGATCCTTCTAAGTACGGGGTGGTGGTTATGGAGGAGGAAGCAGCTACAGAAGAAGAAGAAGAAGAAGCAAGAGTCAAAAGTTTTGTAGAGAAACCAAAACATTTCGTGGGGGACAAGATCAACGCTGGGATATACCTCTTGAACCCATCAGTGCTGGACAGGATTCAGCTGAGACGAACGTCGATAGAGAAAGAGATATTCCCTAAGATAGCTTCAGAGAAGAAGCTTTACGCCATGGTACTACCCGGTTTTTGGATGGACATTGGTCAGCCTAAAGATTACTTAACGGGTCAGAGAATGTATCTGGACTACCTGAGAAAAAATGCGCCAGGGGAACTTTTAGTGTCGGGGGATGGTATCATCGGGAATGTTATGGCGGATGAGACAGCGGTTATAGGAGATCGATGCTTGATAGGACCTGATGTGGTGATTGGTGCAGGATGTGTGATTGAATCAGGTGTGAGATTGTTTGGTTGCACTGTGATGAGAGGTGCTAGGATCAAGGAACATGCTTGTGTATCTGATAGTATTGTTGGATGGGATTCGACTGTTGGAAGTTGGGCTCGTGTAGCTGACATAACGGTTCTCGGTAAAGATGTTCACGTTGCTGATGCTGAGGTTATACAAATGTCTGTGAAACCAGAGATCGTCCAGAAAGTATGATAGTGTGTGTGTGTGTGTTTTTCTTCTTATTTATTATTATGATCATCATATGTTTTTTAGAACCTCTTGACAGAGGTCGAGGTTTCACTTTCTTTGAGAGATTTGCTTAGCCCTTTTACTCTATATTAGGTTGATTAACTTCCTGGTTAACATTCTTTTGAATGCATTCCCTTTGAGTATGCGTAACAATTATTCTGAAATTTTAAGAGCACATCCTAGTGTTTAGTTGCTTCATATAACCACGGAACAGAGCACACACTCTAAACATCTGATCTTAATGGTGAAAATTGTGTTGAAGGAAAGCCATAGAGACGACAAAAAGTCACAAGAGGAGATCAGTTTTGTGAATTGGATGGTTCAAGGGTTCAAGAAGAGAGATCTGTTACAAATATGCAACCCATGGGTTCAAGTAGTGAGCATGTGGTTAGGGAAGTGTTATTAGAACTAGACTTAACTGTGCTAATCGATTTGTGGAAAGTTAGGCCAAGGATAAAGAACGTGACTCAGTATCTAGACGGTCCATAATGTCTCCTATAACCCCTTGAGAGGAAGTGTTACATTTTTTGCTTGGTGCATCATTAATTCATTTTAAAGAGTTAATGTTATACAACAAAAGAGACAGTAGTGAAGGTATACTGAAACATGGGAGTGTGAAAGTGATCATCCACAAGCCTATATATACATGGAAGCAAAGATGAGGCCAGAAACAAAATAGCTGAATCTCTTGAGCTGGTCTCATTAAAACGTTGTGTTTTTAGCAGTGGCTCTGATGAACAATGAGTATGTTAGATTTTTTTGAATGTTATGTTGAAGAGAATGTCAGTTTTATTGTTTAAAATAAAATTTAGGCTTCTCTATTTGTTATGGCCACACAGAGTCAGAGGTCTTACTCTTACACATCTTTTTCTTCTTTTTTCCAATATTTGTATTAATCGGAATCATTTTATACAATTCATCATCATTAAACTGACTAAAATACAAAATTCCTTATAATATATAAAGAGTTGGCCGATGAAAGAATGATTAAGAAAACATTCTATTTTGATATAAAATCTGTCATACTTGAATCCAAAATTAGGTAAGTTGCCAAACGACATAAAAGCTACGACGCATGTAATGTTTTCAAAATGGAATAGTTAGATATCATAATCTCAAATTAAATATAAATAATTCTTAAAGATATATTTATTTTCTTAAATACATGTGAATAATAAGAAAATAATATAATTTGCAACCTATTGTACAGACAAGTTATTACTTGTGAGCAAATTATAAAAAAAATATTAGTATATGAAAATCAATTAAAAAAAGAATTAAAGCTAACTAAATAATTTTAAATTAAACTAACTAACGCAAAAAGGAATTAGAGGAGATGGGACGGCAGTAAGTAAGAGAGGGAAGGTGGACCCGACCCGGGCGGCACGGAGAGACAGTTTCTCAGTTTTCGTCTCAAAAAAATCCTTTCTCTTTTATAAAATCTCTTTTGTCTGAAAAACGACTTTGTCTTCTTCCACCCATTCCTTCTTCTTCTTCATCGTTCTCCTCTCCTCCTGCAACTTCTTCACACCGTCTTTACTTCTTCTTCGGTATTCTTCATTACACTCCCTATTAGTCTGTGTAATGATCTTTGATTCTTTACTTCTTGTGCCGTTTTGATTGTGAAAAAAAAACTGTTTTTATTATACAAAGTGATGATTTTTAGTTTCTTTTATAGATGTTTTGATTTAAAGGTTTTGAATTTTCAGTCAATTTTGGAATATTAGGTCAACGACAATGGATTGAATGTTCTTACTCCATTGTCTTAAAACCATGATACGAATTATTCTGACATAAATTCTGGAACCAAACTTCACATGTTTGGTTCTTTGTATATATATTGACTTATTTTTTTAGTGATAATTATTTTATTTTATTTTATTTGCGGAAAAGCAGGTTTTTGCACTTGTGTGATTCATGAGTTAAGTCACAGGGGGAATAAAAAAAAGCATGTTCGACTGTGTAAAAAAATCAGTGAAATCACAAGTAATCAGTGGCCAACGCGAGAAGTTCGTAAGGTATCTTAGTTTAATTGTTTCAGACAAAAAGACATTAACATGTTCAGACACATCTTATGTCCTTTTTTATTCTTGGTTTGAAAGTTAAAGGCTTCCTTTTAGTTTCTTTCAGGTTAGATAGTATGGATTCTAGATACTCTCAAGGCTCTGAAGCAGGCCTAAACAGATGCACACTCAATCTCCAAGGACCACCACGTCCTCAGATTCAAGGCAACAATGCAACATCTGGTTCATTCAAGAAAGGTTTTAGGAGAGGCTCCAAAGGTCTTTGGTCACTAGGAAGATCAATAGGTCTCGGAGTTTCACGAGCAGTGTTTCCAGAAGATCTCAAAGTATCAGAAAAGAAAATATTCGATCCTCAAGACAAGTTTCTTTTGCTATGCAACAAGCTGTTTGTTACTTCTTGTATTCTTGCTGTGTCAGTGGATCCGCTCTTCTTGTATCTTCCGTTTATTAATGATAGTGGCAAGTGTATTGGTATTGACCGGAGATTGGCTACAATAGCAACGACGTTGAGGACTGTTGTGGATGTGTTTTATCTTTTTCGGATGGCTCTGCAGTTTAGGACAGCTTTTGTGGCTCCTTCTTCTAGGGTTTTTGGGAGAGGGGAGCTTGTGATTGATCCTGCTCAGATAGCTAAGCGTTATTTGCAGCAGTATTTCATCATTGACTTTCTTTCTGTGCTTCCACTTCCACAGGTGATATAACAGTAAACAGTTTTGTGTTTATTCATTACTTCATATCAATGTTCGAAAAATCGCTAGGCGGTAACTAGGCCTCTTTATAGGGGTATTATTGAACTAAATTGATGACTTGTTTATGTAATTTTTGTTTTGTTGTGGTTTCAGATTGTAGTGTGGAGGTTTCTTTACTCCTCTACAGGTGGGAGTGTGTTGGCAACAAAGCAAGCGTTACGGTCTATCATATTAGTTCAGTATATACCGCGGTTTATTCGGATATATCCCTTAAGTTCAGAGCTAAAGAGAACAGCTGGTGTGTTTGCTGAGACAGCTTGGGCTGGTGCTGCTTATTACTTACTACTCTACATGCTTGCTAGTCATGTCAGTTACTTACTAACTTTTTGTACCCTTTTCCTTTTATATCTTTGAAACAGTTGGTTCATATAACTTTTATCTTTTCAGATTGTTGGGGCTTTATGGTACTTACTGGCTTTAGAACGTGTCAATGGTTGCTGGAAGAAAGCTTGTCTTGATGGAGGGAACTGTACTAGAAACTTCCTGTTTTGCGGTAATGAAAACATGGAAGGTTATGCTGCTTGGAACACTATCAAAGAATCAGTTCTTCAGACAAGTTGTCCTGTAAATGTGACTGATGGTGACAATCCTCCTTTTGATTTTGGAATCTACTTAAGAGCACTGTCCTCTGGCATTGTCTCATCTGAGAGCTTTGTTGCTAAATACTTCTTCTGTTTATGGTGGGGACTTCAGAATCTGAGGTATGTCTGTATTTATAACGTCACAATCACATGCCTTCTTCTGTGTAGTAACTTTGTTGATGTCCTAATGCAGTACTCTTGGACAAGGGCTTGAAACAAGTACATACCCTGGAGAGATTATATTCTCCATAGCACTAGCTGTTGCTGGGCTTCTACTCTTTGCTCTACTCATTGGGAACATGCAGACTTATCTCCAGTCTCTTACAATCCGCCTTGAGGAAATGAGAGTGAAGAGACGTGACTCAGAGCAGTGGATGCATCATCGGATGCTTCCACCTGACCTGAGAGAACGTGTCAGACGTTATGACCAGTACAAGTGGTTGGAGACACGTGGAGTTGATGAAGAGAATTTAGTTCAGAACCTCCCAAAGGATCTGAGAAGAGACATCAAACGTCATCTCTGTCTAGCTTTGGTTAGAAGGGTAAGTTTGAATCTAGGCCTTTTTATCTTATCTTGGTTCATTAATGTAACCAAACCATATCTTGTTAGGTTCCTTTGTTTGAGAATATGGAAGAGAGGCTGCTTGATGCAATATGTGAGAGGTTGAAGCCGTGTCTATACACTGAGAACTCTTACTTGGTCCGTGAAGGTGACCCGGTTAACGAAATGCTCTTCATTATCCGTGGCCGGCTCGAGAGTGTGACTACAGATGGTGGGAGAAGTGGTTTCTTTAACCGTAGTTTGCTCAAAGAAGGAGACTTCTGTGGAGAAGAGCTTTTAACATGGGCGCTTGATCCCAAGTCTGGCTCCAACCTACCTTCCTCCACAAGAACAGCAAAGGCGTTAACCGAAGTAGAAGCGTTTGCTTTGATAGCTGATGAGCTTAAGTTCGTGGCTAGTCAGTTTAGGAGACTGCACAGCAGGCAAGTTCAGCATACTTTTAGATTCTACTCACAGCAGTGGAGGACTTGGGCTGCTATTTTTATACAAGCTGCGTGGAGACGGTATGTGAAGAAGAAGAAACTTGAGCAACTTAAGAAGGAGGAAGAAGAGGAAGAGGAGGAAGGAGAAGGGCATGTTGCTAGCATTAGAGCTACGTTCTTGGCGTCAAAGTTTGCAGCGAATGCACTTCGTAAAGTTCATCAGAACCGTATTGCAGCAAAGTCTAGTACTAAAGAGCTTGTGAAGTTTCAGAAGCCTTCTGAACCTGATTTCTCTGCTGATGATGCTTAAAAAAGACAAAGATGCTGACTATATTTTTACATAACTACATATGTCTCTCTATGAATGCTTTTGACTCAGATTGGAATTTATTTATTTTGTTACCTTTCGTTTGAGTTTTATTCCAACACTAAGATTAGACAAATTGTGGTGGTAGTATAAATGGTTATTTGTGATTGTTTTGTAAGTTGAAGACATATATGAAGGAGATTTCATGTACATCAAGAGATGGCAATATGGTATATAGCAAACTAAACATGCTCTGATTTAACTTTCAGTAAGTTTTTTGGCAGAGCTTTTGTCTTAGATTCTTGCATGGTTGTGTAAATTTTAAAAGTAGTTTACATGAATAAATGCTCTCAATGTTGTTAAAAAAATTCCTAAATTATTATACTCTCTAAAATTTCACTACTGTTGCTGAAAAAGAAATTAGTACCCAAAATATTTTTAATATACCAAAAAAATTTAATTAGCAAAAAAAGTTTCACTACCAAAATATTTTTTTTTTATTATACATCTCAAATGCTTTCAAACTCTTGCTGAAAAAAAACAAAGGCAATGCTAACTATTAGGTTTTCGGTTTTCCCGAGACCGAACTTAACCGAACCGTCGGTTTTCGGTTAATCGAAGTTTTTTAAAAATAATTCCGAAATAAACCGAATGAAATTTCAGTTCGGTTTGGTTATCGGTTTATTTTGGTTTTCAATTTTATTTTCAAAAAATAATCGAATTTTTAAGTTTTCGGTTAACTTTGGTATAATTTTTCCAAATTTTCGGTTATTTTTGGTTAAATTTGGTTATTTTGGTTAATTCAGTTATTTTTGGGTTATTTGGTTATTTTCAGTTCGGTTTTTTTGGTTATTTTCGGTTTTTAATATTTTTATTTTTTAAAAAGAAAAATCAAAAACCGAATTAATTCTTAAAACCATACCGAACTGAACCGAATTGAAAATCGAACCGAACCGAAAACCGAAAAACCCCGGTTCGGTCCGGTTCGGCCCATTCGGTTCGGACAAAAATCCCAGGCCCTGTAACTATGGTTGTGTTTACTGAGTCCCATGTCTGGACATTGACAAGCCCTTAGTATTTGTCCCTCCTTTTGACTCTAGTAGTAATCTTATTGACCAAAGAGAAGCCTTTAATCAACAAGCACACAACATAATCAGTAGTTCAAGAAGATAATTCTCTTTACGCCAATGATCAAGAAATGTAAAACATGAAAGATTCGATTCAATCAAACTAAACATAAATAAATATGTCACGTTTGAGATTAATAGGTTATACTTTAAATAGGAATAATGCAAGATCATAAATCCATAAATGTTCCAATATAACGAGAGACAAATGTATAACAACTAGTTAGCTGGAACTCTGCCTTTGAGAAAGTTCTTGCAAATAGTCTCCAAATATTTCCTGTCAGCTCCTTTACCATCCATCGTGGCCTTTGCCGCATCAGCCATTTCTTGCTGCAAAAATAATTCAAAACTCGTCACATACATACCATATTCAGTTCTCATTGTTATAAGATGATCATAAAAGTAAGCAAACCTTGATGAAGCCAAGACGAAGAACACGATCTACAATCTCAAAGAGAATCTCTTTGTTATATTCTGGATGTCCTTGAATACAGAATAAATGATCCTCTATGGAGAACATCTCCACCTCGTACTTGTCTGAATAAGCTAGTACTTTGGCACCTTCAGGCAACACCAAAACTTCGTCCTGGTGTAGTTTTATGATGGCTATGCTGTCTGGAATCTCGTTTCCGAAGTAGCTTCCTGGTGTGATCGCATCCTTAACGATGGTTATGTTTCCAAGTTTTAGCTCTGGTCCTTTCCTTGCTCTTCCAACTGTTCCTCCTCTTACTCTGGCTATGATCTATAGAAAACCGTATTTTTCTAATTAGAGAGGAATATTATAGTCTCAATCTAAAACATTATATTAAGTGGTCAGTGTGTTTCTGTACTAGTAGATCCTAATCGTATATCAATTTAATGCATATTCTAGATTTTTCACACATATTAGTAGAACATCTAATAAATACATAATTTTTTGTGATTATTTTTCTCATAATTTTAAATCAATAAAAATTTAATAAGTGTACTTAAATTTTTTAAAGTTTGCAATTAACTATTATTATTTGATAAAATATGTATTGAAATACAAAAAAAATGAATCTTTTTGAAACAATTTTTTTTTTTAGAATATGTAACTTAATAAACAGAGGGAATATTTCACTAGTTCAGTTGAAAAAGTTTTAAATAATTAGGAGATTTTGGGTAGTACACCATTTATAGCATGTTTTAAACCATGTTATTGATTTGAAGATCATATTTTTTCCAATGGATTTTAAACCCATCAGCCCTTAAACTTATATTATGTGATCCAATAATATTAGCCGTTATCAACTATATCATTCGTAGATATTTTACCCACTAATCGAAAAAATTATACAAATAGTACTATGATTAACTTGTTAACTCAAAGACACTAGACCAAGTTATGAGTGGTCCTTGCTAATATTAATAGATCTTGATTGTCATGTCTTGACTTATTACATACCGTACTACTTAATTCATAAACTAATATGATAAAGTTTCACTCAATATACTTTTAGCAAAAAAATAATTAAATATCCTCTATAAGTAAACGTTTGATTTAAAACAACTAGTTATGAATTAAAGTAGTGAAAATAAAAGAAAAAAGAGTGATAATAAACTAATAATAAGAAAAACAAAATAAGATAACCTGGTGACCGAAGCAGATGCCAAGAACTTTCTTCTTCATCTCATCAAGTTTCTTGACGATCTCACATAGCTTAAGGATCCAAGGATCATTCTCAAAAGAGTCATGAGAGCTTCCACTAATAACAAAACCATCGTACTTGTCAAGATCTTTCTCGTCAGGAAACTCGCCTTCAACGACCCTAAACGAGTCCCAGTGTTCTCCTTCATCTCCAAACGTCTCCACGAACACGTTGTGGTACCCTCCGTATGCTTTCTTCACGAACTCTGAATCAGGAGTCGCTAGAAACAGAGCGAACTTCTTCTGGTCAACCATTTTTTTAGCGGCTAAAAATAAAGCACAGAGAGAGAAAGTTGATTACGTGAGAGAGAGAGAGATAAGGAATGTGAGAAGAAGCAATGGAGAAGAAACACGTATATGTGTGTATATTTATATGAGGTTGGATTTGGTCGACCCATCAATTTAATGTTACACGTTTTATGTAATAGTATTGTTATGGTCATCAGTCATCACACTTGGACAGCTTGCTAACCGTTGTGGACCATGTCCAGACATGATACACGCATTATTGAAGTCTAAAAGACACTATCTCCGTTTCAAATTAAGTATCGTTATAAAGAAAATATTATGTTACATATAATTTAATATTTTAATGGAAATTTTTTAATTTTATTATTATTTTTATTGGTTTAAATATATGAATTATAATGATGTTTTTATCTATAAAATATACGAAATTAAATATATAGAAAAATATAATCACTGTAATGTTTTTGTCTAAAGCGATATTTAAAATGAATCGTATGGAGTATCACTTATAATAACATTACACTGGTTGTATTGTTTCCAGAAAGTATAAAATATATATAACACTGATTGTTGACAACAATAAAATTTAATAGAATTATTTGTATTAGAATGATTCCCCTGCCACAATCAGTTATATGTTTATATTATCTTACCGTATCTCATTCTCATATAATTTTCTTTATAATAAGATTTAGAGAAGTTACTTCTGTGATGGCCAAAGGCCCAAAACAAAATACCTGAGAAATCATTCTATGTCATCATTACTGAATTACTAAACGACTCTGGCTAGAATAAAAATTATTCTGATGACTTTTCTTCACTAGATTGATGGCCAAAACAAAATACCTGAGAAATCATTCTTGTATAGTTTTTTTTTTTGCATGTTTTTTACCAAGAAGTAAGTGTTAAACTTGGTGAAAACGAATTAAACCCCATTTGGTTTGTCTTCTAGACCATAACCATTATATAATTTGCAAGTAGTAAGCACAGCGTTACTAACGCCGGATTTTATTGTCTTCTCTAACAAGTTGAAAATAGATCTCATAGGATTTTTTATCATTTTTATTTAATGTATTCATGCACATGATTTGTTTAAAACCAATCAAGATCTGCTCGGATCTAATGTATTCTTCCCATGCACATGATTTGTTTAAGTTACCTATTGCTTTGCAAATTGGTCATTACTGAAGTTAAAAGTAGCGACCAATAATTATAACTGTTAAACTACTTTGAAAGAGAAAGTTGTGTTTCGCGCACCGTCTCTTGCAAACGATTAGGTAGCTTTCACCATCGCATATAATAATATAGACCCCAAAAATCTTGTATTCATCTCTGTAGTGATAATAGGTTCTCCTTATTCAGTAGAAATGGACATAATATGTAAGTTTCGTTATTTGAAGAAATAAAAAATGTAAGGTTCGATACAAACAAATATAGACATTGTTATCGCCATATGACCATTTCCTCGCCGTTCCAAGAAATGTTCTCACTAGTCATTTTTCAAATATTGCGTTATAGATAATATTGCGAATATCGTAAGACAACAACAAAGAAAAACCTACGAAGCTGAAACTCGAATAACGTTCCAAACCGCGTCCAGATACTCCTAATTATCTACGAATGTACAAATGAGTTAGTATGATGTCTACATCTAATGCTTTTTTTCTTTTCCCACGTGTCCAATCTAATTTGGGGTGGGTTTGATTATTGGGTTTGTTTGCGAATGTTTTGGTTAATCAAAAATTTAATTCAAAGATTATAAATATTGGTAAAAATAACAATTTTAATATTTTGAAAAACAAATTGAAATGATTTTTAGAAAGTTAATTTCAGTTACACTAATAGAATAGTATAAACGAATGGTTCAAACAAAAATTCATTTTGGAGTGTTTGTCTGTTTCTCAATCATGAATCTGAGGAAACAAGTTTAATATGTTGGTAATCAATCATTACTTGGAAATCATGCAAAATATAATAGTTTTTTTAAAAAAAATTGCATATGAAATCTTTTAAAATGAGTTTGAGTATAAAGCATATCCAAAGTACAACACAAATATTTTAAAGTCCATACAATATTTATGGTAAACGTCATCAAAATTATAAAATGTTGAAGAATATAAACCAAATAAAATCAACTTTGAATCATTGATAATTAACTTATCCTTTGTTTTGAGCATGGTAAACCGTTTTAGGATGTTTGTTCAAAAGAAAATCTAATGAATGCTATTCAGTTATGAAAAGCAGAACATTTTCAAGGGTAAGAAGGATATCAACGTCTAAACTTCAAACCTAAAACACTACCATGATATATGAAACAAATCTAATCTCACCATTCCATGACGGATCCAGTTAATTTTAGATTTATGAAACAAATCTTTTTGTGAACGTATGATTTAAACAAATCTAGAAACAATAATGGGTTTTATTTGATAAAACAGTGTTACAGACTATACAGTTAGGCTTAGTTACAATGAACAAAGGAATCTGACATTTCCTCAGACATTGTCTCATTCCTAACTCTTTTCCTATTTTTTCTACCTTCCCTCTGTCAAGTCACAAGTCATCAGTCACAAGTCATTAACTTTTTTCTCTCTCTCTCTCTGGTCATTTCAGCCTACTCTTACCATTTCGAGCCGACACGTGTAGTTCTTTCATGCCATTAGATCTTTCTTCTATGCAATAATGCAACACAACCAACACCTATCACAAATTTTCAACTCCGGTTCGGTTCAACTATTATACGGACGCCGATTATATATTGTCTAGATGTGTTTTGTGTATCATGCGTATCCAATTAGATATGTATTATTTCTTGTATTATGGGTATTTGGGAAAGGAGAATATGAAAATGTGAATAGTGTTTGGTGGTGATAGCAATTCCGATCCTGAGAAAATCCGGAAGAAGTATCTATACTATTAAAGCTGAAGTACAAAATAAAGTGTTTGGAAACATGAATAAAAAAATTTTAAAAGTTTGATTGGAAACGTGGATATCATACAAATTTAATGGGCTTATTTTTTATACTAAAGATTACTGCGGCCCAAGTTACCATTATTATTGTTTTTGGATTTTCTATCATTGATATTACTTTACTTCTAAAAATTATTTATACATATATGTATTCATGTTTTAAATGTATTTAAAATAAATCAAGAATAATATATATTTTATTTATATAATTTATATTGACTATTCTTATAAGTTCTTAACAGTGATATACTAACCTTCCAATTCTTCATTAAAAAATTAAATTAAAAATTTGTCTAAATTATTTAGTGTATATAACTTTACCTAAATTTAGTCAAAAAACTTTATAAAATATTACTAAAATGTTTACGGGTCACAATATTTTAAAACGCCCATGTTACACAATACAATAATGAAATACAATATTTAAACAATATACTATTACTTAGTAAAATTGACACCATTAAATTGTAATTTTGAAATGTTATATATACCATAAAAACAAAGACCCGCCCAGTCGGGTGGGTTATGATCTAGTTAGTCTTAAACCTCCAAAATTTGTATAGAAAGAAATTCTTATAGACATCTCTAAAAAAAATCAAATTTATAAAAGAAAATTTAGTCTAAATCTTTAATAAATCTTCTATACCTCTTAGATCAAGAGTAGAACCTTGGGTGATAGCTTCGTAAAATATATTATGCCCCTTTGTAGTCGAACCTTGTATCCTTAACACCAAAGAAGAGGCGCACAACCATTAGATTACATGCAATGTTTTAGTTATTATGTTGACCCTAAATTCTTATTTTAATTTGATGTCTAAAGCCATAGTTTTATGAGTTTTAGGTCTGGGCCAACCCTGCTTAGAGTAGGGTGCACATGTTTTTGGTCAGACAATCTTAAAGCCTACCCTATTGCCATATCGGTTTGCTAATATATTAAGAGTTAATTTGCGAAAGTACCCTAGTTCTCACCTTCAATTAGTGAACTAACCCTGATATGACACTTTCTTTTAGTCGGACCATTTTACCCTTCCGTGTTTCGATATACTACTCTCTTAGGCTCACGCGCCTACGGGTAGCTGTGTCAGAGCGCCTCCCACGCTTGTTTTGTTTCCCGTCAACCTTTTTGTTTTCCAGTAAAATCTTTTGCATGCTTTTTATTTTGAAATTTGAAATTATTCATTAATTACGGTAACTGTAAAAATTTATCCCACCACTCTGAATAGTAACCTCCCTCTGCAATTCAACTTCCCATCTTCCCACTTCTTTCAATCTTCGTTTTTAAACTGAAAAACTGCCGACTTTCTTCTTCCAAAACCTCCGATGTCCAATCTTAGCCTTCCTAGACGATATTTTGCTTGTGGTGATGAACCAGTAGGCGACAGAGTTGTCTCTTACCACAAGTATCGAAGAACAGAGCAACTAATTGAAGCATTAGACGAGGACGAGTTAGCATTTTTCCACCGAACTCAATTCTCGAAGGTCCTCTCTCTCGATGATAATCCTCCATTTTCCGGCGCGTTCTGTCACTTCGNATTTACTTCAAAAGGATGCAGTCTCACTAGCGCAAGATTCCTTTGCCCTGAAGGGATATGTTGAAGCCATTCAACTTGTTCTCATCGCCGCTGTTCCAGACTTGAAAGAAGAGGTGGCTCACTCTGCCCCCGTGGTTGTTGCTCTTTCCGAAAGCGAGGGTGAGATGGATGCTGAAGAGGAAGCACCGCATGTAGCTGAAGAAGGGGAGGCAGAAGACTTGTCTAAATCCCAAAAATTTGTTGTCAGGTTGCGCAATGCGAGAGAACTGAACACAGAGTGCCAGGTTAGTGTCCTTGAAAAAATTTTAACCGGAAAAAGTAGTGATTTCGGAAAAAACATTTGTTTACCGTTAATACGCAGAATACCAATGCTTAATTATCGTTTCATATTACTGTACATATGCTCACCCATTTGTTAAGCATCAGCAAATAATCTTTGATTTGTAAACATATCGTCGAAATAAGTCGTCAATTTAAAATCCTTGCCTGAAAATATAGTAATTACCCGTAAATAATAATTTTACCTGGTATTGAGAAGTTTTCCTAACAAACTCATTATTGCCAGCAAACATTAACCATTATTTTATT